AGGAAAATCTAGATTCTATTGCACACCTACCCAACCAGCAGTAAGAAAGTGCTCCCCTCGATCCTTTGGGTATCAAAAGAGAGCATCCAATTGAAAATAAGGGACCAGTATCCCATTCCTTTCTATGGCAAGAACAATACCTAATTAAGTCAGGTAGCAAACAGTAGGTAAATAAATCAACACACTCTACATAATCCTACGGCGCAGAGGAAGTCACAAAATATGAAACATACTGAACACATTGCTCTTGCAGCTGACCCACGGGTCAGTTCCCAGCCTTCACATGGCAGCTTATAAGTACCCTCTTCTGAATTCAAGGGCATGTGATACACTTACATATGTGCCGTCAAAACACACATGTAAAATAATAAATATTTAAACTATTACACATACAAATACACTCCACTGAATAAAGATCAAAATACAAACTTGAAACTCTGTGGAACATGGGTAAAGCAGTTTCTGAGAGGGAGATGTTGCAATTTAGATCTTAAATGTCCCCACAAGTATCACATTTTAGCTGTTTGTCTAGGGCAAGGGTATATGCCTCAGTGTGTAGAGGTCAATGGACAACTTACGGGTGTCGGTTCTCTTCTCCATATGTGTTCCAAGGCCTGAACTAAGGTTGGGCTTAGTGGCAAATGCCTCCATCAGCATTTGGAGTCTCACCAGTGTCCAACTCTTATGTTTTAGAGCCTTGGTCCCCCAAGGGCAGTATTGAGAGGTTCTTTAAACTTAAGTGTCCTCTATGGAGTCCTCTTTGCCCTGCCTTTCCAGCTCCTCTTCCCCTCCCTCCTCCTTCTACCCACTCCCAGACTTCACAGCTCTACTCTGTACACACTCCTCCCATGTTGTGCTGTTTTAATTAAAGCGATGAGCCCAAGAGATCTTGGGGTGAAGCTATTAGTTTCAGTATTTGTCACAGTAGCAAAAACCGTCACCTATAAAGAAAGGTGGCTTTCCTCTACGGGTACTTAGAGAAGGGGTCTCTATCTCTGCTGTATGTTTCACACCTTAGAAAGGCTATGGGACTATCCTACGTTAAGAGTTCCCATTTATCTATTTATTTGCTTGGATTTTTTTTTTTTTTGAAACAAGGTCTTAGCATATAGCCCAGGCTGACCTCAAATTCATGGCAATTTTCCTGCTTCAACCTCTGAGTGCTAAGATTATAGGTGTGTGTCGCCATGCCCAGCTCACAGGAAAACATTCAGGTTAGATAAAGCTTCAAGTCATAAAAGTCGTGTTTAATAAGCAATTATAGAAAAGGGCTCCAATCAGAATGCTGACAAGAATGTGTCAGCAAGGCCTATATTTTGGAGGTTTCAGGTAGCAATGAGGACATGGCTGGCATCTAGATTATAGGCAACTCTGTTATCCACAGCAAGAATCAGATTCATTTTGTCCTGACTCTTTTTAAGTGTCCAAGTTTAAAGGCGATGACACAGCTTAAGTATAGAAATGTCAACGTAGCTATGTACTTGGGCACTGCATGCATACAACTAGACGCTTTAGCCAAACAGACACGAGAATCTGAAGCAAAGAACAGTCTATGGGGTGTGTGGTATAGACAGAATTCCTAAAAGCACTCCCCAAAATAAAAGCTAAGGCTTCGAAGGATGGAAACCTTGGGACAATAGATGAGAGCAATGTAGAGAGCCTGCTGCAGAAAGCTGCAGGCAGTGTGTAGTCAGATCAAGAGTGGCCATGCGGGCTACAAATATAGCTCTAAGTCTGCAGGTACTCTAGCCTCAGAAGCCCACACCCTAATATGTACCCTAAACATCAGACATGGAAGTTTAAGATTCAAGGTTTGCCACACTGGCTTTGGCTTCCAGTCTTGTTCTGGTCCAAGTCTTTCTTCCCATTCCTCTGTTCTCCTTTTAATATAGGAATATTTGCTTTGTGCATCTTATATTATTATATCAGAGAAGCTGAACCTTTATCTTTTGTTTTTTTCTAAGGGTTCACAAATAGGTTAAAAAAGAAAGCTTTGAATTTAGACCTTTGAGCAATGATAAACAGTTAAAATCTAGGGGATTCTTTTACAGTTTAACTAAATATTTTTAACAGTGTGAGATACATATAACTTTTGGGACCAGAGGAAGAATGTACTTTGCATCTCAAACATACCAAAGCCCCATGGGTAAAGGTTTGCAAGATGCCCAGCTTGATACTACTGAAAAGTGGTAGAAACTTTAATTTGGGGAAGGGAATGTTCCTAAGAGACAGCTTTATGCCTGCCCTCCAGAAGGCTTTTAAGACCCTTGTCTCAATTATCTTTCAGTTCCTGGCCATGAGGTGAACAGTTTTGCTCTACCATGCCATCTGTCATTGTGACCCCCAATTAAAGCCTAATAGACACAGGCAACTGAACAATGGACAATTGCTTTGCAAACAGTGGCTGAAATAAACCTTTGCTCTGAACAGGCTGATTCCTCATCTATTTGTTGTGGTGCTGCAGAGAGGGAGGGAGGGAGCATTTAAAGTCTCAAAATCTAACTTCCTACCATAAGAAACTAAACCAAACATATGCAGAAAAGAATTAAGAAAAATCAGAGAACTGACACTAAAATGAAAAATAAAGATATGGTTATTTTATATGATCAGTGAAATTGGCAAACTAGAACTAAAACTTAAAAATAAATAGAGTAGGGACTATCACCATAAAACCTACAGATATCAAACTGATAGTAAGAGAATGCTAGAACACATACACACTTGACAGGCAAAATAAGCCAGTGGGCAATTTCCTCTAAAAGAATTATCACAACTCATCTAATGTGAAAAATTTTACTAACTCTGTAACTATTGAGAAAATGGCACAATTCAAAAATTTCCAAGAGTAATCTATAGCTCTAGACTCAAGAAAATAATTTTAAAATGCACAACTTTTTCCAAGACTTTCAGAAAATAGAAATACCTAACCAATTCATTTTTTAAAGGTAGTATTAAGCCTGATAACAAAAATAGAAAAAAAAGAAAAACATTTATCCACACATATACACATATCCTTAACAAAGTAAAAGCAAACAGAATTCAGCAATAAATACTTTTAAAAGTACACGATGATACATACAGGGTGTTTTCTGGTATTGGGAAGTCACGTGATATATGTTCTCTGGTAGCACATCTATGAAAACTCGACACATCAGGCAGTAAAATCCACCACCATATTAACAAACTCATGATAGAGTACACATAGATAAACCATTTGATAAAATTCAATAGTCATTCCTGATATAAAAATAAAACCTTTTAGTCCTAACATGGCTCTTATACCCATGAATTCAGCACAAAACTTGCACAAGACTAGAGATTGGAGCTATGCATAGGGAGAGACAAGTAGGCAGGAGGTTCATAAGGCACTAAAGCTACTCTGAATGACACATACATTTTTTTTTATAAATTCTTCCAAGTTCCAAGGGCATACAATTCTGAGCAAACCTTAATCTGAACTATAGATTTGGTGTGTCTTGGCTACTGTTCTCATTGCCATGATCAAATGCCTGACAAGAAACAAAACAGGAAGAATGCATTGGGAAGGATCACACCAAAATGGTAGGTGTCCTACTTTCTTTTTTGTTGCCATGAAAAAATAGCCTAAAAGAAAACACTTCAGGGGAGAAAGCGCTCATTTGGCTTACAGTCCATAATTGAGGGAAAACAGTGAGGCAGGAAGGAGCTTGAGACAACTGGTTGTATCACACCTACAGTCAAGAGCAGAGAGAAACAGATATTCTTGTGCTGCCTGATTGCTTGGCTGTGCTTACACCCACTAGCACTCTTTACTCTTTTACAATTTAAGACCCAGCCTAGGGGATGGTTCCACCCATAGTGAGCTAGGTCTTCCTACAGCAATTAACAACCAAATTAGTCCCTCACAAACATATCCCATACACCAACCTGATAAAGACAATTAGCTCAACTGAGACTCACAGCTGTGGTTGTGGGGGGTATCCTGGGCAAATGAGAAAGCAGAGAAAGAGGAATGCCAGTCCTCGCCTGTCTTTCATTTTCTTTTGTTTGCTGAGTCCAGGACCCAGGTCTTCCTTCCACAGTTAAACTACACTGAAAATGCCCTCAAAGATCTGCCCGCTCAGAAGAGTGCCCTATGTAATACAAAACTCTCAAGCTAACAGTGAAGATTTCTTGTCAGCCTGTGATTTAGACACATTAAAGTGAGAATGGCCCCACAGGTTTGTATGCTTGAATACTTGGTTCATACTTGGTAGAAATGTTTGGAAAGGATTAGGAGGCACGTGTTTGTTAGAGGAGAAGAGTCACTGGGAGTGGAATGAGGGTTTTGAAAGATTCATGCCCTTTCCAGTACACTTTCTGCCTCCTATTTAAGGCTCAAGATGTGAACTCCCAGCTACTGCTCTAGCCATTTACCACCCACTACCTCTACCCCTTTCACAGACACTCACTCTCTGGAACTGTAAGCCCAAAAGAAGCTCGCGCTCGCGCGCTCGCGCGCTCTCTCTCTCTCTCTCTCTCTCTCTCTCTCTCTCTCTCTCTCTCTCTCTCTCTCTCTCTCTCTCTCTCTCTCTCTCTCTCTCTNCTCTCTCTCTCTCTCTCTCTCTCTCTCTCTCTCTCTCTCTCTCTCTCTCTCTCTCTCAGAAGCTGCCTTGGTCATGGTATCTTATCACAGCAACAGAAAATAACTAATACATCAAGAAGTGGCAATACAGGCTCATCCATAGTGATGAATGTACTGCTCTGTTCAGAGAGCATAATAAGGAAGAGTGTACATGGGTAGGGACGGGGAATATATGGAAAAACACTTTCATCTTCAATCAACTTTACTGCAGCTCTGAAAATACACATAAAGAAAAATAAAAACCTTTTTTGATGCAGGGTAAAATGTAATATAAACAGAGAATTTAATATTTTATATGTAGCAACACTGAGTACTAACAGCAACACAAACACTCCTTTAAAATCTTTAGAATCATCATCTGAATAATCTCAGTTCATAACATTCTCCATTAGCTTACCTTCCACACTGTCAGAACAGGAAGTGCCAATGCCAGTGTCCCCACTGTCAGAAGTTATACTGTGTCTCCTGATATGGTTATTCCGATGGCTAGATGGAACAGTTGTGGCCTGCCACAATGACTCATTACCAGGTAACCATGCTGATGAATAATCTGAGCCTATAAAGGGAAAAAATACAAAATTAGCACATGTGCAGTATCTGTGAGAAGGCAAAAGTAGGGTTTTTTTAACCTTATAAGAAAATATACATAGTATTTAAGAGGTTATTTTTTACCCAAAATAAAAATATCCAACAAGATCAAAATTCATCAAATAAACTGCATATCACAGGATGACAACTGAATGCTGCTGGTTCTTTACCTTCTGACCACTGAGCTGTTTTCCGCCTCTACTTGCTGAACTTTGAAGATGGATTGCTAACTGATTTAAACCATAATCATGACAGCACATGACTTTAATCCTAGTACTCAAGAGGCAGAGGCAGGTAGATTTTACAGATCTCTTTGAGTTCAAAGCCAGTTTAATCTACATGGGGAGTTCCCAGACAACCAGGAATACTTAGTGAGACCCTATGTCAAATAAGTAAAAAATAAAAAGAAACAAATCCTATCTAGCCCAATGTGCTAGGGCACACCTGTAATCCCAGCTGTCAGGAAGTGCAGGCAGGGAGGGAGACTAAGAGCTCAAGGACAGCTTTAACCACACAATGAGGAGGCCCACCTAGACCACTGAGACAGGTTCCCAAAAACAACCCAGAAAGCTAAATCTACCTTCAAATGTCAATAGCCTGTCCTAGAATATTTCAGTCCAAGACCTCTGATTCCACACACAGGCCTTAGCTGTGCGCTGACTTCAGGGAGGGTCTAGATGAATCCTATGAATGATCAAGAGATATTGAATAGGCTACTCATGGAAGATTATTTTTAAAAAGTTTCTACTGTAACTTATCTCTTAACATAATTTTTGTTTCTTTAATTATCTTTTGCTAAATTGTTTACTAAAACTTCATTTAAAAGTTTCAAATAGAGTCAAGCAGCAGTGGCGCATGCCTTTAATTCCAGCACTTGGGAGGCAGAGACAGGAGGATCTCTGTGAGTTTGAGACCAGCCTGGTCTACAGAGTGAGTTCCAAGTCAGCCAGAGCTGCTATACAGAGAAATCCTGTCTCGAAAAAAACAAAACCAAGAAAAAGTTTCAAATAAAAAACATCACACACCAAAATTAACCCAACCAAAGTCTATCCAATATCTCAATGTAACATCTATACAGTTAGAATAGCTATACTAAAGTGTGGGACTTCACACTGGATTTTACAATCTCATTGCTGAATATATTTTCATGTACTTTCCCCAAACTAAAAACTCATGACAGAATTAGAGCAAGAAAACAATTAGCTTTTGCTAAATTTTTAACAGCACAGTAAAATAGTCTCAAAATTTTAACTGACTCATAATAAATGATTCAGCCAACTCGTTCCTCTATTTGGAAGAAAGGCTTGCCCAACCTAGAGCACATAACAGCAAGCCAAGATGTTTACAATACAGTAATTCCTAAAAGCCTTACTAAGGGGATCTTTTTTTGAGGATAAGAAAGACACAAACGTCTTTCAGATTTCTTTTTCCACAGAAAAACAATCTCAGTTTAACTATATGGCAGATACAACTTGAACGATGTCAAATTTGAGTCATGGTTAATTTTGTATGTGATCTTGAGTGTGCCACTGGGCCATAGGGTGCTTATATATTTGGACAAACACTTCTTAAAAAAGAAATTTTATTCCATTTATTTATTTAGAAAAAGGGAGAAAGATTCATGTGTGTGCACATGAGAAAAAGACTTGTGTGTGTGCACTCCACAGTGTGGAGGACAGAAGACAATTTAGAGACTCATGTGTGCACTTCGCAGTGTGGAGGACAGAAGACAATTTAGAGACTCATGTGTGTGCACTCCGCAGTGTGGAGGACAGAAGACAATTTAGAGACTCATGAGTGCACTCCGCAGTGTGGAGGACAGAAGACAATTTAGAGACTCATGAGTGCACTCCGCAGTGTGGAGGACAGAAGACAATTTAGAGACTCATGTGTGCACTCCGCAGTGTGGAGGACAGAAGACAATTTGCAAGGGTGGCTTTCTCCTACCATATGGGTCCTGGGGAGTCACACTAGTCTCCAGGCTGAGCTGGAGTGCCTCTCCCAGTTGAGCCACCTCACTGGCCCTGGACAGACCTTTCTGTAAGGGTATTTTTGGTCTGAGGTAACATTTACATTGGTAGACTTGGTGAATGACTCTGCTGTCCTCATTGTGGACAGACTTTATCCAATCCACTGAAGGCCTAAATAGATAAAAAGCTTACTAAGAGATTTTTTTAAGCCATGAAGACCTCTGAACTAAAACACAGGCTTTTTCTATGTTTGGACTCGAAATGGATCATAGGTCTCTGATGTAGGAGTGTCTTCTATCTATCTGTTGTTTCATTGGTTAATTAATAAAGAAAACTGCTTGGCCTGATAGGTCAGAACATAAGTAGGCAGGGAAGACTGAACAGAATGCTGGGAGGAAGAAGGTAGTGAAGAAGAGGGCATGAAACTCTGGTCCAAGATGGACATAGGTTGGAATCTTTCCGGTAAGCCACCACCTCATGGTGCTACACAGATTGTTAGAAATGGGTTAATCAAGATGTGAGAGTTAGCCAGTAAGAGGCTAGAGCTAATTGGCCAAGCAGTGTTTAAATAAACATAATTTGTGTGTTGTTATTTCAGGTGCTAAGCTAGCTGTGCAGGAGCTGGGCTGGACGAAAAGCAGGCCTGCCAGCAGCCTCATCACTACAGGTCTCCTGGCGTTGAGCTTGCTGGCCAAGGCTAGAACAATATCCTCAGCAACTTACCAACTCACCAGATCTGGGGTCTATGTCAGTAAGCTTCTAAGATAATTCCTAGAATCATAACCTACTGGATCTACTTCTTTGGTAAACACTAATGCAGTATTGGGAGAACTAGGAAAACTATTAGAATAATGACCAGAACCTACAATTTCCCTCACTGTACTTCAATATAACCTGATCAACAGACTTCCAAAGCAAATGAGTGCAACCTCAATACCTAGAACCTAGCACATACCAAAGGAAATGCATTTAAAATTAGAAAAAAACAAATGGTCTAAAACATTCCACCCTCATTTCTAGAAACTCTAACTTCTGTCTTTCAGTCACAAAAGAATACAGGTGTTCCTTGATTTAAATGGGCTATATCCTGATAAGCCCGTTATAAATTTAAAATGTCACAAGTCATGAATGAATTTCAGTACTCCTGTCAAATAAGCATGCTCAGTGACACCACACACTGCAGAGATCATTATGTGTGCCCGTGAGAAGACAGCTGTCTGAGCTCCAGCCACAAGCAGCCTGCCACCAGAAGAGAGAAAGACCATCCTTGAAGGCCGTCTCTCCTACATGTGCACCATTTCTTGTGCTAGGTCCAGTCATCATGTATTAGGGGCATTCAGTGTAGAAGAACCTCCTGAATTAGTTGTTCAGTGAAACGGCTTCATAATTTCCAACCTTCTAAGCTCTACTTCTGACTTTTATTCAAACACAAAAACATGCCACTATGATGTGGACGAAGTCATCAACTTTTAACTAAATGTCATTATAAAGAGTGTAAATAAACTTCAACATCCCCTCAAAAAATAAAAAATGGATAAAAGAGAAATATAAATCTAAGAAATACACAGATTAAAGAGAAATTATTTTTAAAAAATTCAGGCTCACTGATAAATAATTAATGTGAAATCCAAAAGGCAACTTAGCCAAAATATTGGAACAAAGAACAATATATCCTAAAGACAGTGTTAATGTGTACATTAAAAAAAAAAAAAGAGCCAGGTGGTGGTGACACAAACCTTTAATCCCAGCACTCAGGAGACAGAGGCAGGTGGATCTCTGTGAGTTAGAGGTCAGTCTGATCTACAAGAGCTAGTTCCAGGACAGCCAAAGCTGTTTCTCTGTTACACACAGAGAAAAAAAAACTGTATTAAAAAAAAGAAGAAGAAAAAGAAGAGGAGGAGGAGAAAGAGGAGGAGGATGGCAAGGGCATAGTATGATCCTAGCAGGAGGATCGGAAGACAAGTTAGTAAGTTCCAGGTCAGCCTGGGGTATACAAAGAAACTGTATCAAAAAAACAAACAAAAAGCACTTTAAAAGAGTAAATAGGAATGTGTAAATTCTAAAATCTGGAAAAGTGGACCTCCAGACAAAAAAACAGTTCCTTAAAAACTATTTCCAATTAACGAAAAAACAAAAGGAACAGAACTTTGACTATTAAAATACTTCAGGGGACCAGACAGTTTAGCAAGGAAAGGTGCTTGCCAGGACACCTGACCCCGAGTTTGGTCCCCCAGATCCCAGAACCCACATGGTAGGAGAACCAACTCTCATAAGTCATCCTCTGACTTCCACACTTGCCCTGACAGGGAGTACTCACACACTACAAATGCACGCATAATAAATAGGGAAATAAATGTAAAACAAACAATATGGCACTACGGATCTAAAATGCTTACATCGTCAATTTAAATAGGATGACCTTGACACAAAGGAAATTCACAAGCTCAGGTTTCACCCTGTCTGGGAATTCTCTGAACTCAGATCTCACATCACATCACAGTCACCAATCTCTGTGACTGTTCCCCAAGGCAGGAAAACAGTTTGCACAAAGGCCACTGGTCCCAGTCCTTTCTTCAGTCTGATGGTGGCATCAAATGAAGAAAACACGGAGAACCAGGAAGAAACTCACCCAAACACTACTGGGAATTTTCTCTAGATACCAAGACTGCCGGTAACTGCTCTGACTTCCACACTTTTATTTTATTTTGAATTACTACAGTTTAACTTAATTATTTTTAAAAAGTCTTATTTCTTAAAATGCTCACCACTAATACGACCAATAACTTAGTCATTTAAAGGCTACTTAACTAATGTCTTAGGATATTCTCTCCTAGAAAGGGAATAAATGGATTATATCATAACATAAACTACTGAAATTCAAGTGTTTAGAAATACAGGATTGGTGAAAGGCTGGTTTCCAGCTACAACATCATCACTGCAGTCTCGAGCTCACAGAAGCTAGAGTTACCTGCAGAAGACCAGAACACCAACCAATAATTCTATATATGGGCAATGGGTGGGGGTGGGGAGGATCATGAGACTCCACCCTAGCTGAGAGCTGAGGAGCTATTGGCAGTTGATGGCTACTGAGAAGAGAAGACATTTTTTTGCGATGTGGCCACTGGTCGGCTGTCCATGTGCAGGTTAGTAGCACAAATTGAACTCACTGGGTTATGAAACAAAAAGGAAGATGACATGAAGGGGAGAGAGGCCCATGTTAGGGGAGTACTGGGGACAAATGGAAGAGAGAGCTGAAGGGGGACATGATCAAGATACATTTTATATATATTAAATTGTTAAAAATACAAACTGTACATGAATACACACAAAATAACCTGGAAACAAAAGATGGAAAAAATTAGAGACTGAGGAGACGGTTCAGTCAGTAAAGTACTTGCTCCGTAGCATGTGGGCCTTAATTCAGTTCCCAGCAGCCACACTAAACCCGATATAACCCACACCTGAGGGCGCAGCAGTGGCTAGGCAGAGACTATAGAGGCTCTCTGGGGCATTCTGACTCCTCTCTTACAAACACTGCTCCAAGGATATTAAAACTAATGACCCCACACACTGGGAATAGAAGACTTTATGATTCATTTTCCAATACTAGTTTCACCTCCTGGAAATGCCTGGGGATAAGACAAAACACTAGCATTTCTCCCAAAGAAACACAAGATGCTGGGCAGCAGAAGAGCCTCCTGCTGTATGTGATTTTCTGAGTGTGTCTGAAGCACAGCTGTGTCTGCACCAAGTCTTCCATGAAGTATAAGCACACCTGTAACTGCACTTAGGGTAACAGAGACATGACTCCTCCACTGATGACAACACTAAGCCATAGAAAACAAACGCACCACATGATAAAGCAGGCAGACAAGTTTTCATTAAAAGCTGGATGTGCAGCACAAATCATAAAATAAATTACAGTCTTGGGGGGGGGGGATGGATGCCTCACTAGCCCAGGCTGGCTTGGAACTTTCTATGCACCTGAGAATGGCCTTGAGCTCTTTGAATTCTTAATCCTCCTGCTTCTACCTCCACCACAGTATTTTTTTTCCTTTTTTTTTTTTTTTTTTTTTTTTTTTTTTTTTTTTTTGAGACAGGGTTTCGCTGTAGTTTTAGAGCCTGTTCTGGAACTAGCTCTTGTAGACTAGGCCTCGAACTCACAGGGATCCGCCTGCCTCTGCCTTCCAATGCTGGGATTAAAGGCGTGCGCCACCACCATCCAGCAGTGTTTTTCAAAATATAAGTTGCTAGCCATTAATGGGTCTTAAAATCAATTTAGACAACAATATTTTTTTTAAAATAGAGCAAAACAGAAAATACCAAATTGCACTAATCCTTACACCACAAAAGCATAAATATCTTACATTTTAAAAACTAAATTGTTTTTTAAAAATTAAAAAATAGAAATACTCTGTCCCAAGCTTCAGGCAGCTCCCTTAAATCTCCAACTCCCTTAAATCTTCAGTTGATGTGACAGAAATTCAGGTTGCACAGGTCGAAGAACAAGGCCCGGAATAACCCACAGCACCAACCACCCCCACCCCGAACGCTTCATGGTTTCTGAATGGCACCTCCACTGCTGTCACAGATCCCACTGCGCAGCCTGAAAGCAGTCATCAGTCCCAGGAAGCTCCACTCTACTGGAGTAACTGTCAAAGCAGCCACTCCACATCTATCAAAAAGAGCTTCAGAGCCAGGAGTGTCTGTGTCGTGCTCCTGCTGACACAACCTACGGGTTCCTGATGGCACAGCAAGAAAACTCAAACTCTGACTGGGAATTCTTCACCAGCTGGGCATCTCAGGCTCACATTCTGCAGCTCCAGCCCTCCTCACCATCGAGCTCCCCAACCAAACACAACAGCCAGGCACCTTACCTCTTCCCCACACAGATGGGCCTATTCTCTAATTGCAACTGCTTTTCCCGTCTCTCTTGTAACTTTCTAAAGGACTTACTTGCTCTTTCCTCCTGGTTCTTCCACTAGCGTTGCTACTGCTTTGTTCATCCCAAACTGCACTTAAATTCTCTCACAGCATTAACTGGCGAGTATTAACTCTCACACATGACTTTCTTCTACTTCAAACTGGAAAGTGAAGAACAAACTTTTTATCTAGCCTGGGAGTTGTGCACTCAGGCAGAGTGTCAACAAATGAAGTCATTGTGAGCTGGATATCCAATAAATGTTCACTGAATAAAATTAGAATTTTGGAAGCCTTACAATTAGACCTACAAAAATATCCTTCCCTTTAGAAGGATTAAAACAAGAACTTTGTTAGGAAGTTCTGTTTATTTTAAAATCCAAGATATTTTTGACTATCCCTTGACCTAGTATGCATTTATATATCTATTTAAAAACCAGTAAATATTTGTCAAAGCACTTTTTAAAAAGTACTTTAAAAAAATAACGATTTGATGGTCAAAATTCTTAAGAATTATGAGAAAGCAGTCTCAAATAGGTCAAAAAACATAAAACATCTCTCACACACAAAAAAGCACTAAACGATATAGAAAATATTCTTAATATAGGGAGGGAAAGTAAGTTTTTCTTAGGGTGTGGATACTCACAGGTCAACCCTGTCCCAGAAAAGAGCCCCACACCCAAACAGGCAGCACAAATAGGACTCAGGGAACTGCTTTTAAAAAGAAGAGAAGCCCAGTTGGAAGGAAAGTGTGGGAAGGTGGTAGCGGAGCTAGACACTGGATCTGGGAGGAGTTAAGGAAACGGGAAAATATGATCAAAATATATCACAGCACATATGAAATAGTCAAAGAATTAATGCAAAATATATTTTTAAAATATTTATGAGGGCTTAAGAGTTAAAAGCCCTTGCTGTTCTTGCAAAAGACCCAAGTTCATTTCCCAGCACCTGTCATCAGGCAGCTCAGTCTTCTCTAACTCCAGAGAACCCCATGCCTCTGACCTCCCCAAAAACATGAACTCATATGCATATATCTGCATACATATACATAAAAAACAAGTATCTTTAAAACTGTCCAAAAACAAAAAAAAAAAAAAAAAAAAAAAAAAAAAAAAAAAAAAAAAAAAAANAAAAAAAAAAAAAAAAAAAAAAAAAAAAAAAAAAAAAAAAAAAAAAAACAGGCAAAGAGGGGAGGGTCATTAAGAGGCTGTGTTCCTCCCATCACAAAGAGATCAAAAGATCAGTACAGACAGGAACTGTGACTGGAGGTCAAATTCTAGGCCAAAGGAAAAAGTAAAACAAGATCAGTTTCAAAATGGGAATCACATTAGTCTTTGAAGATGGGTCTTTACTCAGTTAAGATAAAGGAGCAGCATCCAATTAGTAAGTGGTATGTTCATATAAATACATTAGCTAGTCAGATAGTACATTAAAATCTAATTAGCTGGGAGTTAATTGGCTTTCTTGCATGTAAAATTTAGATCAATGTCTAAGTAATCAGTAACTAGTAGATGTGGCTTTCTAAATATGAAGGGGGAAGAGGACAGAGAAAGGTTAATACTGATCAAAGTCACAAAGTTTCATTTAAACTGGAAAAGTTAGCATTGGAGACTTTTTGTTCTTCATAGTGATGAGTTAATAATAATGTATATATCAAAATGTGCTAGTGTTGATTTCTGACAGTATCATTACAAAAAGTTGAGAATGTTAATTAGCACGATTAAATCTTTGTGCAGAATCTATTAGGTCAAAATATGTTGATATATGTGTGCATTTTCCCAATTAAAAAGGAAACTTAAAAGTCAAGAACGGGGTGACACACTCCTGTAATCTTCTACTTAGAAGATGGAGATGGGACGATCAGGACTTTAAGAGCAGCCTCAGCTACATCGTGAGGCTTGAGACAGAGTGAGCTCCATGAAAGCCCTGTCTCATAAAACAAAAAAATAATTTATTGTTTAACTGATTAAAATAAAGTTTCTATGAATGTCTTAGGGTTTTTATTGCCATGGCAACACTTGTAAAGGAAATCACTTAATTGGGACTGGCTTACAGTTTCAGAGGTTTAGTTCATTGTTGTCATGGTAGGAAGTATGGAGATACCAGACAGACATGGTACTGGAGAAGGAGAATCCTGAGTTCTACATCTGCATCCACAGACACAGGAAGAGACACGCTGAGCCTGGCGTGAGCATCCGAAACCTCAAAGCCCACCCTCAGTGACATACTTCCTCCAACAAGGCCACACCTATTCCTCCAATAAAGCCATTCCTTATGAGTCTATGGGAAGGGATTATTGTCATTCAAACCACCACAATTAATAAAATGTAAATATGAAAAGGCTAAAAGTTTATTATAACTAAGTAGTGCAAATAATTTTTAAAACATGACCACAAAAGGTACTACAAAAGCAGATACTTTGAATATGATTATGAATTTCCTTATTTTCAATTCTATTATTAGAGTCTTAAAGTTGTTCTAGGCTGTTAAAATATCTCTATTTAAAAATAATCAGATAACAAGTAAATAGTTTGCCTTTCATAAAAAAATTATGAATTCAAACAAGTCCTCATCAAGTTTTCTTACAAAAAGCAAACAAAAGGTAAGGGTACCAACCAACACAGATATGACTAACTCTTCTATGAAAACACTACCTGCAGTTGATATCAGTGTACAGACAGGAAGGCCACTACTGTCTGGTTATGTGAAAACACATATGTGAAAACAGGTATTTCGGCAGCTATGCAGAATCAGAACCATGTACATTTTCTCATAGCCTCTGCTCTGTCAGGAACTGGAAATCCCTGAGAGGCTGCCAATGAAAACACCCACATGTAAGGGAGCACAGCCGTGGGGCTCCACGGGCTTGCCCTTGTCTTAGACAGCATTTCACAGCAACACCTCATACAGAAAGCACTCTTATGACAGCAAGTTATGTCTGTCTAAAGAAGAACGTAAACACCAAAATCAAAATCAACTTTCCTAAACAACTGCTCAAACAAAAAGTGCTATGAAGGCTACCTTTATTATATGTAGTCTACACTGAAAGTGTAGGCAAACTATTCCTCAATAATTCTTAATTTTCTAATACTTAGTAACATAAGTACTATGGGTAATAAATCTAAATGCAGAAATAAATCAAAACTTAAATTCTGAGAAAACATAAATATCTATAATTTTTCAGTTCTCCAAATTTAAGCATTCACTTTCCAGTGAAGCTATCTTTAATGTTATTCAACTAAGAAATGAGTTTCTGCAGTGACAAGAAAATTTAGAAGGGCATTAGAGCCCGTGCAACACTGCCACAGGTGTGATTCTTCAGAGCCAGCGCAGCGCTGCCACAGGTATGATTCTTAAGGCGGACAAGCAGGCACGTGATCTTTACTTTTACAAAACAATGCATCCAACTGGTAGAAACTTTAACAGGACACATAGTCCACTTGTAAGGATAACTAAAAGCTGCAGTTCAGTTGAGAGCCTACAACAACGAGGAAGTCCCCTCTGTGTGCTGTGATTACCATTAATGAATAAAGAAACTGCTTTGGACCTATAGCAGGGCAGAACTTAACTAGGTGTGCAAACTAAACTGAGGTGGAGTCAGAGAGAAGCCATGGAGCCACCACCAGAGACAGACATGTTGAAACCTTGCCAGTAGGTCACAAGCATCAAAATAAATTATAAAATAATGGAGATGGGTTCATTCTAGATGTAAGAGCTAGCTAGCAATACACTTAAGTGATTGGCCAAGCAGTGATTTGAATGTTGGCACTACCTAGTAAATCTCTACCAAATCATAGGGAAAAATCAAATGAGAGTATCTGTCCAGACAACAGTTAATAAAAGCATGAGATAAAAGTAACATCAAAGCCTGTGTGATGGTGCACACATTTAAACCAAGCACTTGGCAGGCAAGCAGATCACTGAGTTCCAGGCTAGTTCAGTCTATATAGTAAGTTCTATACCAGCAAAAGCTACATAGCAAAACCTTATTCAAATAAAAAAAAAAAAGAAAAAAAGTAAAGGGAGGGAGGGAGGAAGAGAGGGAGGGAGGGAGGGAGGGAGGGAGGGAGGGAAGACTATTCTGATGGAAAAGAACACTGTTAACACCAGGCAGATGATCTGAGAAACATCAGTCAATCAAAGCATCCATCCCAAGAAACTCTTTTGTCCTAGGAAAATCCAGGATACTTCTCTAAAAACTGGAGGTCCCAGGCAAGCCCAAAGAGGCAGTGGCTCTCTACCTTAAGTTAGTCCAACATTATTTGAACACTATGTATCAATTTTATGCAGCGAAATGAACTATCCAATTTCTGCCACTTTAGGTATTTTTTAAATCCCTCACTGTGATTAGTAGCATTCAGCCATTTTCTTCTGACCTGTCAGATATGACCTTTTAGATGTATGAGACTTTAATGATCAAGCACCACATTCTTCTGGTTTTACTCCTATACTTCCCTGGTTGCTCCTGCTTCATCACTTTGGACACTCCTCTTTCCCTACTAGATCAGGAAAACTGGTGTCCGGGAGTCCAGACCTCTGATGTCTCCTCTATATGCACTCATATCTTTCCATGGGACCCATCCAGCTCCCATAACCAATACCATTTACACACACACAGGAAACTCCTATCTCCCCAGATCCAGTCATCTCCACAGTGGCCTATGTTTCCACTCAACATCTCACCCAAACTCTAAAATGGCCCTCAGACTTCACATGTGACATTCCCTATACTCCTCCCACCTCCAACAGTTCCCATGGCAGAAAAGGGGACCACGTGCCATTACCTTTGATTCCTGCCCCACATTTGCCACCTCCAAACTATCTGCAAATCCTGTTAGCTTTATTTAACACAAATAGTCTAAGCATTTCTCTTCTCTCACAACCCTATCTAACTGCCCCATCTAACTCCAAATCATCTCTCACCAGATAACAGCAAGGTATAAAAACTGGCTTTCTACTGCTATTCTTGCCTCTACCTCTTTACAATTTCTTCCCCTACACAATCAACAAGTGATTCATAAACAACAACGTGGATGTTTGCTGTGGGACAAAGATTTGTTTCTCATACTTGTTTAATAAACACTGACCAGTAGCCAGGCAGGAAGTAGAGGTGGGGCAACCAGGCAGGAAGTAGAGGCAGGGCATCGAGAATTTTGGAAAGAGGGAAGTTTCGGTCTGTAGTGGTGACCCAGCCACAGAAGAAGGAAGATGTGACTG